ATATACATACATACACACACATACATACTGTCAATAGGTGCATGCACTTTTTTTTTTCTTGTAAGAGAGATTTTTGCTACAGAGTGCATGCACTCAACAGAGAGACAGAGAGAGAGAGAGACAAAGTAAGAAATCACCCCCGGGGGGGGATGGCCACACTGTGGTCTCTTCTCCCTCAGTCTTCTCTTGGGATTTTGGACATGCACACACTCGCGCCATGTGTGAGTTTCAAACTGCCAGGTCTGGGACTCAAACCACAGTCCAGTACGTGGGAGTCCAGCTACGTAACCACATCTGCTGGTCCTGTGGTGCACTTCTTTTTTTTAAGAGTTATTTTATTTACCTTTATTTATTTATTTATTTCAGTTTGACCAGAGAGAGAGAGAGAAAGTGAGAAAGCAAGCCGCCAGGTCCAGGACTCAAACCACAGTCGGCCATGTGGGAGCCCAGTGCCCTTAACCACCACACCACCTGCTGACCCCAGTGTGTGCACTTTTTAAGAGACAGAGATGGGGACCAGCAGTTGGTGTAATGGCTGTGTCACTGGACTCCCATATAGTTGACCATGGTTCAAGTCCCGGACCCAGTGGCTTAAACTGGTCGCATGTGCATGCGTTCCCAGGATCCCGAGAGGAGAATGGAGGAGAAGGAATTGGGGTGTGGCCATCCCCCTTGGGGGGGGTGATTTCTCGCTTTCTGTCTTTCTGTCTTTCTGGTGAGCACACACGCCCTATAGCAAAAACCTCTCCAAAAAAAAAAGAGACAGAGATGGGAAATGAGAGAAAACACCCCATAAAGGGATGGGGTCACACTGCCATCCCTTTCCATCCTGTTGGGACTTTGGGCTCGCACAGACGTACCCTGCATGTCCTTCAAGCTGCTAAAGCTCTGATTTGAACTGTGGTCAGCCATGTGGGTTACAGTTCCCTTATCCACTAGGTCACAGGGCTGGCCCATATAGACATATTTGGGTGCTTTTTCCCTCTCTCTTTCTCTTCTTCTCTTTGGTGATCTGCCGGGGACCAGCCTTGGTGGGGGTGGGTTGGCTCGATGGAGGCAACACTGGAAAGAAAGGAAGACAAAGGCCTCGTGCTTTTTCATGCACGTCCTAAGTCGGACACTCCTCTAAGATCACTCTCTGAGGAGTGACAACTGCTAGGAATCACGTGCCTTTTTATTGAAAATGGGCTACATGCAAGTAAATGGGCTACATGTTCTAATTATCAATTCATAAAGTTTTAACAATAGAGATCAAAGATTCTATTCAGGGTTTGATTAAGGGCAGGTCTATTAATCATCGATACAATTCAACAATAGATTGATGTAAGCAAGCTTTTGGGAACTTCTGTTCTGGGAGCGTGGTTTCGGAGAACAGCTCCAGCAGGCAGAGTTAATTATCAGCCAGTACAAAATCTCAAGTACAGATATTAGTTTTTATAAATCTCAATAAAGAATGATATTTATATAATTTTATAGAGATGTAAAATTAATTAAAGGAATCCTAATATATTTACCTATCCTGAAAGGGTGAAGTTAGTGTTCACTTAATGAGGGCGGGGATACAGCCTTTTCAACTGGTGGTGAAGTGACTAATGAGTTAATGAAAAACTTTGTGGCACATCTTATTGTGCTTGTGGCGCCACCGTCATGTACTTTGTCAGAACATTAGCTACAGTGAGGCAGGGGTGTCCTGGGTCAGTTTCTACCTAAGAGGTAATTTTTAAGTTTATATAAATGTGTTTTGAAAGGCCTTCCAACGATCAAGAAGAACTTTAGCACACCCTTTATTGTGCCTAATGAAGCGTTGTAATTAACAGTAAATGGTCAGGGTAAAGGGGAGCGGTCGGGGAATTTTGGGGAAATCTTGCTACAAATATATATGGGA